GCAATAGCAATAGCAATAGCAATAGCGGTTAGACTTATATACCGCTTCATAGGGCTTTCAGCCCTCTCTAAGCGGTTTACAGAGTCAGCATATCGCCTCCACAGTCTGGTTCCTCATTTCACCCACCTCGGAAGGATGGAAAGCTGAGTCAACCTTGAGCCGGTGAGATTAGAGCCGCTGAACTGCAGATAACAGTCAGCTGAAGTGGCCTGCAGTACTGCACCCTAACCACTGCACCACCTCGGCTCTATTTTAATATTAACAAATTAACAGAGTTGGAAGGGATCTTATAGGCAGAGCTGGGTTGCTGCCGGTTCAGCCTCCAGTGATGAAGCTCCCACAACTTCCGAAGCAGTGGTGGGATTCAGCCAGTTCGCACCTATTCGGGAGAACGGTTGTTAACTTTCTAAGCAGTTGGGAGAACCGGTTGTTGGAAGAAATCTCCTTTTTGTTTTTTTCCACTTTACAGGGCTAATCCTGTAAGGAAGGCAGGAAGGAAGGAAACATTCTGGTGTTGTTTCTAGCCTCATCTTTATTACCCTGTATACAGAAACTGCCTCTCTGCTTAACCCTTATTACATTTTCATAGCTAAGGCGAAGCACCCATTGACCTGAGTGACGTTGAGTTGGCCACGCCCACATGGTCACATGACCACAGAGCCACGCCCACCCAGATGGCCATTGGCAGAGAACCGGTTGTTAAATTATTTGAATCCCACCACTGTTCCGAAGGCAACTTCTGTTCCATGGATGGATTGTTCTCACTGTCAGAAAGTTCCTCCTTATTTCCAGGTTGAATCTCTCCTGGATCAGTTTCCATCCATTATTCCTTGTGTGGCCTTCAGGTGCCTTGGACAATAGCTTGACCCCTTCCTCTCTGCAGCAGCCCCTCAAATATTGGAATACTGCTAAGGTGTCCCCCCTGGTCCTTTTTGGAACAAACCTTCATGAGATGAGTTCACCCAACTTATTAAAACCGGTTAGGTAGAAGCCGAATAGGTGTGTTGGTACAAATTGTTAAGCTTAATGTTTAGGTCCCCAAGGTGCTATTTTTCAAGAGCCAACTGGACTATCTTGTTTTTTTGTGTGTGTTGAAGACGTTTTGCTTCTCATCCAAGAAGCTTCTTCAGCTCTGACTGGATGGTGGGGTATGGAAGGGTTTATACTCCTTGTAGATAGATGGCCCTGTGCATCCTTTTGGAGGATCGTTGAGGCCACTTGGAGGTTTATTTGTGTCCTCAGGGTAGTGGTGGGTTTCAAATTTTTTTAGAACCTCTTATGTAGGTGTGGCCTGCTTTGTGGGCGTGGCTTGCCAACCATGTGACTGGGTGGGAGTGGTTTGCCAGCCATGTGACCAAGTGGGAGTGGCTTGGCAGTCATGTGACTGGGTGGGCGTGGCCAACTTGTAAAATGTGGTGAAACTCACTTAACAATGCTCTTGCTTAGCAACCAAAATGTTGGCTCAGAAACTCTGGCATTTGAAGCACGCAAGTCTTAAAGCTGTCAAGTTACAAGACCCTTGCACCCCTAACCCTTTAGAAAAAAAAACCCAAGGGTGTTCAAACTTGACAGCTTTAAGACTTGTGGACTTCAACTCCCAGAATTCCTCCTCCAGTCATGTTGGCTCAGGAACTCTGGCATTGAAGTGTGCGAGTCTTAAAGCTGTCAAGTTACAAGACCCTCGCACCCCTAACCCTCTAGAAAAAAAAAACCCCAGGGTGTTCAAACTTGACAGCTTTAAGACTTGTGGACTTCAACTCCCAGAATTCCTCCTCTAACTCTTCATCTTGATGTGGGGACGGGCGGGGGGAGGGAGCTGGAACCGGTTCTAAACGGCACGGTAAATTTGTGGAACCACTTCTATAGAAGAGGTTAGAACTTGCAGGAACCCACCCCTGCCTCTGGGTCACCTGAGTGGTGCTCCTGGTTCATGTAGTCTGCAATTTTTTCCCCTGGAAATCCATTGCGTCTCCCACACCATTCAAAGGATGTTCATCCCAAATTGTATAGCTAAAAGTCTGTAGTGAATAGGAATGGACCTGTATTGGTATATTGCTTTGATGACGAACTTATGGCACTCTAGGTCAGCTGCAGTGCCCATGGGCACGCTGGCCAGCTGATTGTCAGCCTTCGAAGGGCCTCTGGAGAGCCGGGGGGGAGGCCATTTCTGTTCTCCCCAGGCTTTAGGAAAGACTCCAAAACCTGGGGAGGGCAAAAAACGGGCCTACCAGAAGTTTGCAAACTGGCTGTTTTTGCCCTCCCCAGGCTTCAGGAAGGGGGGGGGCGGATATGTGCACATGTGTACGGGGTGTGTGTGTGTGTGCGCTTTCAGCACCCGAACCAAAAAAGGTTAGTTGTCATTGCTATATTGGGTTGGTGTAATTCTCTCCTTCCCTTTTCTTAGTCCAGCCAGACCCTCCAGAAAATGTAATGGTCTCCCCAATCCAAGGGAAGAAAAAAACGTTGCTTGTACAATGGAAGCCTCCTAGTTCCTGGTTATACCCTGAATATTTTCCCCTGCAATATATCATCCGCTATTCGAGGGATGGATCAAGGTTTAGCAGAACGGTGAGTGCGGGAGCTGACATTCCCTCCACGGCGTTATTATGTTAATTGGATTACCATTTGTCTGAAATGGTATAAGGTTTCCTGCCTAAGCAGGGGGTTGGACTAGAAGACCTCCAAGGTCCCTTCTAACTCTGTTATTCTATTCTATTCTATTCTGTTCTGTTCTGTTCTGTTCTGTTCCGTTCCGTTTCATTCCATTCTATTCTATTCTATTCCATTCCATTCCATTCATAGCCTGAAATTTTAACCTGAATTTCTCTTTTTTATTATTACTTTTTTCCAACAGAAGTAATCTTGACTTATGGGTAAAATTGGGACCCTGATTTCTGTTGGTAAGCAAGGCAGTTTAGTGAGTCACACCTGGTTTTATGACATTTTTTCCATGGTTGTTAAGTGAATCATGCAACAATTAAGCAAATCTGGCTTTCCCCGCTGATTTTGCTTGTCGGAGGCTGGCCGGGAAGGTCACCTATGATCATGTGACCCTGGGACATATAGGCAGTCCTTGACCTACAAGTTCATATAGTGACCATTTGAAGAGAAACGGCACTGAATAAAGTGACTTAGTGACCATTTTCACACTTACGACCATTGCATCATCCCCATGGTCATAAGATCAAAATACAGACACTGTATTAATGACGGTTGCAGTGTCCCGGGGTCACGTGATCCCCTTTTGTGAACTTCTGACAAGCAAAGACAACAGAGAAGCCAGATATACTTAACAACCATGTCACTAACTTACCAACTGCAATGATTTACTTAACAACCGTGTCAAGAAAGGTCATAATGTGGGGAAAAACTCACTTAACAACTGCCTCGCTGACAGCAGAATTGTTGGGCTCAGTTGTGGTTGTACGTTGAGGATCTCCTATACAATACATGCCAATTGCCAGGGTGTGAAAATCAGTCATGTTTTTCAATGCCGTTGTAACTTCAAACAGTCACTAAACGAATGGTTTTAAGTCAAGGACTACCTATATTTTGCTTTGCTTCCCCAGACCAGGCCTATCGAGCAGACTTCCTTTACCCTCACCGGGATCCGTTCTGGCGTAACCTACCACATCCAAGTAGCCGCGAAAGACTTCCTGGACAATGGGGAATACAGCGCCTGGAGTCTTCCTGCCTCTGGGGCATCCTGGCAGCCGGACTGAGGGCCACGGAGGATGGATTTTGTAATATTTGAAAGATGGTATTTGTAGTACTGATGCACTGGCTAATTAACATA